TACAATAGCAGCATTCCAACACTCAGTATCATCTTGATTGATGCCTGGGATTTCCATTGCGCTTAGCCTATTAGTTCGACATCTAGAATTGGCAATGGCATGAAAATACTTGGTATTATTATCTCCATCTTTGACCCATTTAGAGCAAGATCTTTGAAAGCATAAGATCTCTTCCTTCCTAAGAAGGTCATCAAGTTCAAATTTATTGTTCTCCATCAACAATTTTAAATCAACAGTTAAACCCCCATTTTACTGTTGTAAAATATTGATGACATCAATATCTGAAACCAAGTTCCTAATGGCAATGCCGATATTATCGAATTTAGCTTTACCCCACTCAATAAGCATCTTCTTGATAAATATAAGTTTCTTGGTTATCACAAAACCCGGCCATCCAATAACTGGACACTACATCCAAGAAGAGGAGACAAGTTTCAGAAGAGACTTGTCTTTAAGCCACATAAGCTCAAAGCGGAAAGGTGGCTTACTGAGAGATCTCTAACAGTGCAGAAAAGCAAATGGACATGGTTTGATGCTAGTTGAGCGGCTGCCTTCACCAAAGCTTTAGGGAAGACAAACTCCCAATTAGGAGACATCAAGAACCGATCAAAGCTTTGACAACTTAGGGTTTGAGACCGAGTTATTTAACTAAGTGAACTATGTTCCCACAATAGCATCGTTTAGCAACTCATTTGCCGTGATAAAGTCATCAAATAAGATCATTTACGGTGTGATGTGAGGGTTCGAGGAAACCTCATCAGAGCTCTTAACCATATTATAATTCCCAGTACCACACCAAGGTAAACCACAAGAAGTAATAATGTGAGTGTTGACGTCAAGAAAGGCCTCTTTCTCACCCACCACATTTGAACCATACACATTAGATAAACACCATAAAAATAAACCAGGTCCAGAGAATTAAACCATCAAACATCGAAAAGCAACATAAAAAACACACCCCGAAACAACAGTGGGGTCCCAAACTATTAAAAGACTTCCATAGAGGCCAATAGAAAATACATATAAAAATTCTAAAGGGCCAGAACCCCAAACAGATCTTATGAACACCATGTCCAAGGAGACCATCTTTGTTTCATGCAAAATAATGATGTTAAGTCTGAAAGCAGAAACTAAGTATCTCAACACCCTTCTCCTTCTGATGTCTCCTAGGCCCTGGACATTCCAAGACAACACAATGATTGTGGTCAAAAAGCTTGATGTCCCCTTGTGGTCCCTACGAGACCAAGAGCAAGGGGATTAAAATGGAGTGTTGCGAGGAGTTCCTCAAGCTCCCGTCGAAGACAAGGCCTCCGGGTTGGTGGGTTCGGGGCAACAACCTCTTCAACAATCCTGACCTCCCCCTTGAATTTCAACCACATACCAGCTAGCATCTTGCCCTTACGATCCCTTGCTATGACTTTTTGTACTTCTGCATGGACCAGTTCGCATCCTTCAAGTCTAGGTCTTCCTCCTCCGAAGAGGATTCAGTAACCAACACTAAAGGTGCTCCAAAATGTCTGGGATAGAGACTAGTAGCAGTCCTTTGGAAAGCTTGGCAATGGTAGCTATCATAGCAAGGTTCATACAGCCCCAAGTGTTGTTGTCTTTCCACTTCGAGAGAGGGAGGTAGAAAACATTCTCAAGAGCGAGGGACGAATCAGACATTGCAATGTCCTTCTTCTCAGGAACCTCTATAATATTAACCTGGGCCATGGGAGTAGAGGAACAATGAAGTCAAAGAAATCTGCGAAGAAGACACAAAACAACGAAGTAGAAGAGAAGGGCCCTGAACAACATGTAACGGGCCAAGCCCTTATATAAAGCCGAAGAAGTAGAATGAAAGGTCGTCATTGCCCATATCAGAACAACAAAAGGGTGACAAATGGCAATAGGGATCCTTCCGGAAGATTTGCATTGGTTCACTTTGAGATAGCGCTGACGGCATGGCGTCCTCCAACATACCAATCGTCACCCTATCCGGTCCATCCAGCTGTTGATTCTTCAAGCTCGGGTCGAGCTTAACGATCCAAGGTTCACAGCAGTCCACCTATATAAAGCATTGACCAACTGATGAAGGCTGCGACGATTGAGTGGACCGCCTTGGGGAAACGATGAGAGTCGGTGCCACAGACGTGCCTGACACCGATGTGCTTCTTGAAGAACTTGAAAAGGCTCTTTTTGATGTCTCACTCGCCACATGTGTGGAGCCTGGGAAACGATTCATAGGAAAAGGTTTAGAAGAAGGCATGTGTTGTGGCGAACACAACGGCATGTTACTCCAGTCATAAGAGTTTGAATTTGAATTCCAGTTGACAAGACTGCCTCCAGGAGCCGCCAAGCCAACTGCCTTCTTCCTCAACTCTTTACGAAAAGTCTTCCTAGGTCCGTACTGCTACTTAGGGGAAGTGACCCACCTCTTTCTGGACACCAGAGTCCATGGCTGATCCTGGCCACAAAAACCAAGACTCCTAGCACAACGGAATTCCGACAAGGTCGTTGAGCTACCAGAAGAGTTATCAGAGGAACCCTTGGAATCAGAGGTTGAGGGCTTCATCAAAGGCAAGAGTTTTCCACAGGAATAGTGATTCCAAAATACTCCCCAGCCACTTTGAGCAAAAGTTTATCCAGTAAAGAAATAGCTGGTGAAGGCATAACACGCAGACGTAAAGTCCCTAAAGCAGGACCTGTAGCAAAGAACCAGTCTATGTGACCACATTGTGCAGCAAGAAACACCTCTTTTGTCCAACCATGCATCGGTATACCCAACACCTTAATTCAAACCGTTGGTTTCCTTATCAAAGAGCAATTGACCGTCAGGGACCTATGCTCAACCATCATCAGAACACCTTTGAACCTCAAAAAATGTTGTTTAAGAACACGAGCAAAATCTGCTTCCTCGTCGAACATGGCCAAGACCCTGTTATTTGGAATAGTTCTGCAGGACAGAGAACATCCCAATGTATGACAAACCCAATCCTAAATCATGCTCATGTCTTCAACCGGAGAGCAGAAAGGATAGATTAAAGCTTTGTTGAGGTGTTCTGTCCACCTAGCAATGGTCAAGGCTTCAACCTCAACAACCTTAGCGCCATTAAAAAAAGCAGCATTCCCAAAAGGGATCGATAAAGATGGGCCAGTAGAAGGGGGTCCTTATACAAAAACAAGCTTATTTCCAGTTCGAGAATGGTGACGTGGGAACATCAGCAGGTTGCACAAAAGGAGATACAGGATTATGAGAGCAATGAGCCGACTCAAAGCTATACAAGGAGCGTTTAGAACCATTGAGGTTACTTACAAAATGATTTTTGCCAGCCGACGACCAAGAGCCTTGGCTAGAGGGAGGGTGGTTAAATGAGGAGTACAAGCTTTGCTTCTCCATGACAGAAGAAAAAAGCAGAAGGATACAACAAAAGAGAAAGCAAGGAAAGAGCAAAAAAAGAAAAAACAGAGAAGTAATTGAAGAAAGCAACAAGCAAATCAAGGGAGTATGGAGTAGGTCAAAACATCACATAGCTAGCGATGAGGCTGGTAGAGGAGAAGTGAAGCATAGAACGGGGACGAAACCGAGTGAAGAAACTTCATAAGAATCGGTTTGAACCGAAACGGTTATGGGAAGGAATATGTCTTTCCCACTCCAGCTGGAGATGTAATCTCTAAAACCCAACGACTAACCTAAAAGAAATAGAAAAAAAAAACTCACACTTTATATGTACCTAAAAAAAATTACGTCCCAAAATTGCAAGGGAACCATTCAGTTTTTTGAGAGAAATCTAGATGTTCAAGAACTCAAAATCCAAATGTTTTTCTTTGAAAACAACCATCTAATGATAAATAAATCCCAAAATTTTGATTAAAAAAATTCTCCCCAAGTAGCTATTTTGCCCGATGGAGTTGTTGTACATTAGTAAAGTTCAGATAAAGAAAAAAAATCCGACGGAGCTCTTTCCTCACATGGAATAAATACACATTGCCCTTGCCTCGCTAACCGGTTAAAAGCACCGTGCCTAAAGATGGACAGGTCTAAGCGAAATTTATCAAAATAGTCATAAGAGAAAAACCATTTAACATTCTATCCATTTGTAAATATTCGAACTCACGACCAGTATTCGCAATATCGGCCAGTTCAACTCAAAACTGGTCGGATATTTAAAAAAATTATATAAAATTCCACAAAATAGGGGATTTGTTTGTAATATATTTATTTATTTTATCATTTTGACAAAAATTGTAAAGTGTTTTGGCCTTGAATATTTATTTTTATATTTTTCCATCTTCTTTTTAAAAAAAAATACTTAAAAATATCTCTGAGCACAAATCGATTTTTTCAAATCCATTTTCACTAATTTAGAACATCATTTGGATGTACTTTGTTTAAGGGAAAGTATATAATGTGACAATTTACCTTTGGTACAAGGTGGTCACAATTAATCTAGACCATTGGATGTGAAATTGGGTGGCTGCATTTATTTCATTAACCAAGCCTAAAGTTACAAAGATTTTTTCTCGAACTTTGTGACACACCCAAGCTATCAGATTTCACATCGAATGGTTGTAAATAATTGTTACATCTCTGTACCAAAGGTAAATGGTCTCGTTGTATACAATCTCATCATGCTTTGAATATATTTTTCATTTTTTCTTTTTAACAATATTTTGACAAGCCAAACTTACTCGATTAAAACGGTTGAACCATCCAGTTTATTGATTACTCGGAACCGGTCCTTGGCCGGTGTCCGAGGTCGATTCAATTTTTTGAACACTGTTCATGACCTTAATAGGTATGAGTACTTAACATAACCCTTTTGAAACTAATTAAAGACCATAGATAAGTTGTCAAATTTTTCATTTCGATGAAGGTATAAATTTCCCAAGGCATAATAATACACCAAAAGTCATCTTACTCCAAAAACGACAAGAAGTGGAAAGTAATTATATCCGTTGGCTACTAAAGCGAGTTTTGAATTTTCAAATTACAAACCCTAAAATATAACTGTTGATGGTTCTCTCCAATTACTTTCTATTGTGCTCCTCACTCACAGTTTCCTGATCCCCCTCTCCCCCTTCTCTATTACTCTGCTTCTCTCACTCCCTCTCTCACTCCAACTCACAATACCTGTTTCTCTCTCTTCCCCAACCCCATGGCTCTCCGATCTCTCAATAACACTCCACCACCGGCGATTGACCACCGGAAAAAGCCTGCAAAAATCACCGGATTCTTGATAAATGATGAAAACATTGCACCCTCATCAACAAATGTGGCTTCCAATGGACGTGCTAATCCCCCAGTTGCCAAATCTAATTGTGAAATTCCGGCCTCTGATCAGGGGATTGATTATATTGCCTCCAAGAACCTCCCTGCGTTACCGGATCCAGAGGCCAACATCCAAGTAAGAAAGATTGTGTGTTATGCTTATAGATTTTGGGGTTTTAGATTGTGTGTTATACTTATAGATTTTGGGGTTTTGTGTTATTTACCTTACTTTCTCCTCTCTCTCTCTCTC